AGATGTTCTCTGTTTCTTAATCCAGGTAGGAGATGTTCTCTGTTTCTTAATCCAGGTAGGAGATGTTCTCTGTTTCTTAATCCAGGTAGGAGATGTTCTCTGTTTCTGTGGTTAGCGGTCAAGCGTAGATCTAACCATCACAATACCCCAAGCTTACGATGACACGAGGAACACTACAGAATGTGAAGTGTGCTGACAAAATGAGTTACTTCTCGGATTATAGCCTGATAGAAATATATACGTCAAGTTTGTAGATTGAGTTTTTACAATTTACTAGTATGGAGGGATAAAAGACATGTTAAGCTTGAAGAGAATGGCATTGGTTTAGAATCTATAAAATAAATGTAACCTTTGTGTTGATTTTCAGCCGATATATCCATTCACAGTTTGAAAGAAGTTACTCATTTTGTCAGCATGCCTCACAAATAGTTCTCTTTTTATCGTATGCACGAAAAATAAAGTCCCAAAATAAAGCACCATCAATATTATGAACATTTACTATTTGGCTACTATTTTAGGGCCCGATATATCTTGCACGCAAAGAGTAAGACCTGACACTGTTCTAAAAGAACCTCGCTTCACAAGAAATGAAGAAAACTGTCTGCTTCATTATTGTCTTCGGAGACAGGATACAAGCCTGTATATCAGACATCTGCTTCCCACTGTCACCAGGCTCTTGTCGCTCAGAGACCTGACTTTCGTTTCGAGCCCGTCTTGTGTTTTCGTCTGGTCCAATGTTAACTTTGTATTCAAGGTCGAATTCTGTCAGATGAAATTCGTCAGCCTCTCTTTGGAGGCATCTACTTTACTTTTTATAGACTACAGAGAAAGCTTTTGACCTGTCTTGTAACGTTAACATCTGTTTCGAGCTGCTTTGAGGAAAAAAGAAAGAAAATGCAAAGCAATTAGCTTTCTAAAGGTGTCCTTGTCAAGGGAGACTGCATTGTGGAAAAACATTACAGTTAAAATTTGACCGTTTATTCCTCTTTTACCGGTTCACTGGTTTACTCATTTGAATCCTCAGTGGCTCTAGCTAACAAACCTTGCGCAGGCTTTTTAGTGAAAGATGCCATGAACATTTAACAGCTGTTACGGGGATCATCATCATCAGTATCAACATCATCATCATCGTCATCATCATCATCATCATCATCATCATCATCATCATCATCATCATCATCATC